TATATATATATATATATATATAAACGTCAATTTTCACCACGTTTACTTACCCTTCAGAACTTAAAGGTTGCTATTTTAGGAAGGTGGGCGGATCACTAATACTTTGTGAAAGAAACAGTGGTTGTCTACTGAGAACCCGGTCCTTATAATTTTTGCAATCTTTTCATTTCTGCCCACACCTTAATGTCGGTTTTGACTTGAGAGTGTTGTTACCTTTAGCGCCAAGTGTTGCTATTTTAGGTTTATTCAGTTGCCCACTTCAAGCCTTTTAGGCGGCACCTTTTAATAGACCCGCGGGATGCGCTAATGATGATGATGATAATGACGTAACTTTAGGCCTAATGTGTCTTGCCCAAGACTAACATCAAGTTTTATTGAGCCATCCCGGTCCATCCAGGGGTTGGGATTTATCTTTAAGATTATAAACGTTTAGCTGTACTCACACGACAACTTCAAAGAGATTACCTTTGGAGTAAGACTGCCGTGAAGGAGGTTGCGTTGCTTTTACTGTGTCAGAGAGAGGCATAGATGCCCAGTAAGCTCTCAGAGCAAAGTTTCCGCTGAGCAAATAACCCCGTTTGTGGACAGCGGCCTAACTTAAAGCATTACTCCACCGGCGGTCTCTGCATTTCATAACTGGGACTCAGTTGCGGGAAAGGATGCCGTTGTGCGGCATTAAGACGTACACGTAGGAACTGTCATCTCCTTGCGGTTAGCACAGAGGAGGAAAATGCAATAGACCAGTTTATTTCCTCCCTCAAAATGTACTGGGTGAGATATGAAGGCAGATGAAACTGCATTTAAAAACTAAGAAACTAGGGTTATAAATTTAAAACATAATGTGAGAGACTAGTAAAAAAGCCCTGGCATTTTAGCTGCAGCAAAAATAAAAATGTATCTGGGGAAAATATGTGAGAACAATGATCCTATGAGATGCACCCTCGGTCACGATGTCTTAAACGGACTCATGTCCGATAGAACCCGGTTATAATTAGCTAACTATTGCATGTAACCTTAATACGGATGACTTGTATGGCCGCCTAAACACGACACGGGAATATGAATCACCCACAAGGCATGTAGCTTTGCGCAAAATTCCGATGGGAAGGGGATTTTAGGGGTTAAGATTTGGACTTGTTTTAACTGCATGGTTAAGATTTAGATCACAGTTTAGATTTCTGAATATTTACACTTCCTGAAAGGTATCAAAATGCCACTTATTTTAAGTGGACGGGGCTGTCCTATTCCCCTGTCCTTTTTAGGTAGCAGGACTGGTCTTCCTTACCCATATTGTGACCGTAGACCAGATAAGAATCCTCAAGGGAGTTGGATCGCTTCCGTAACACCAAACTGTTGCTAGTAAACTTTAGGCCGCCTAAGGAATGGAGAAATACGGTCCACCAGTGTGCCCGTTACCGGCTTCCTGGGAAAAGATCCTGGCCTTCAGATTAAAAATATCGAAAAATGAACATGCGTTTTCGTCAAGTTCCCGGTAAGTCAATACAACGGTTCATTTCAGTCTAACTTGTTCGAATATTTACACGTACAGATGGATTAATTAAACTAAAGCCGAGGGGGGCGGGAAAGGAAGGGAGAAGAACGAAGGACTAGTATATTTAGAAAACGTGGACTTATTAGCGTTGTTCAATCTCCTCTACGGCGATTATCAAAATGAGGTTCGGCTATGAAAACCCTGAGGCCTGCATACGGTTTTCTGCAGGGAAACCTCGACTTGCGTATACTAATGGGTGTTGCCTCCACAGTTGTCAGTAGACGTTTTCGTGGTGATACCTGATAGTTCACTGAAGCTGGGAAAGCTGTCCGGAAGGTTGCATTGACGTCTACATGATAGTCGGTGTTCTCTGGATGTTCGGGAATAGAGCTGCTTATGAACTCTATCGTGCTCTTTTTCCCCAGTAACTTTGACGTGCATTCTCTCAATAGTATGCTTATTCGACCAACGTAGCCTCTTCTACAAGAGAGGAACGAATGCAATAAGAGGTGGTCAGGGTTGGCAGTTTATTTTGATTTTTTGAGTATATGGAGCTTCACGAGTCGAGAATAGTCATAAACCATTAACAGCTGAAAAAGTATGATAACGCATGGTGCGGACACTTCCCTTTTAACTGACTGTGGGCGTCGCCTTGATAACGGACCTTGAGAACTTACCTGAAGTGTACTTAATTTGGTTAAATTGTCTTCCTATATTGCCCATGGGGTTTTGAGGACGGTTAAGGTGCAATATAAATCTATTTTTGACAAATTTTATCATTCCTATCATTTAACCCTCATAAACTATTCCTCGAACGTCTTCTTGCGTCCTAAATTCAGACGGAGTGGAATTCATTAATTAGCAGGCAATTTTATGGGAACATACATGTGCCTATTCTCGTGTCCTAACTCTAATACTAACCCTGACCCACGTTTTAACCCTCATCCTAACCTTAATCCTGGTTTTACCCAAAACCTAGGCCGGAACGCAAAACCAATCCAAACTTTGTACCTAACTTTAACTCTTACCCTATGTTTCCTGGAATTTGACGCAAAACCACCTGTAAAAAGGGACGTTTCTCTTCTCATGGCCTGTCCGGGGCACCACATAAACGGAGGCTACCGAACAATTACCTATAATAAATATATGCAATGCTTTGAAAAGGTCTTTTCTACTTATTATTATCATCAACCGAATATCTTAACTAAAATGGATTTTAATCAACTTATTTTAGAAGAATTGCAAGTGAATGTGTCTACTGGGATGGTTTATCAGTTTCATTAGGCTGGATTTTTCTTTATCCGCGCATTTTGGCATGTATGCAGTGTTCTAACCCCCCCGTTCCTTGGTCTTCCTGTTCCAAAATCCACCTGTTTCAAGAAACGATTCGGTGTTTTATCAAGTGCCAGATGCCATTTTTAGTCACGCGCTAGTCCTCACGGTAACGCCTTTTAGAAAGGCTCTCCAATCAACAACCTTGCATTAACACTGTATGTGCTTATAAATTATGTTTTTATATGCCTTGTAAAAAATAGCATCTATATGGCTGGAGGCGACATACTCTGGGGATTGGACACAGTATTAAGGAAAATTATAAATTCTGCCCTGGAAGTTTATTATGGCTCAGTGCGTAAGATACTCGTAGGTTACCTTCGATGCGTTTTATTTTTGAAACTACATGCACAGTATAGCAAGTGCTGCAAGCAAAATGCGAAATACTGGTAATCACTCGCAAATCAACATTTGGTAGGATTGCAATACTAATTATCATGCAGTCGAATCTCAAGTATTTTCAGTCACGCCAGGATGCCGGCTCTTCAATGAGATTCTTTCTGACAGCTTACAAAACGTAGATACTGTAAAAAATGACCACGCAAAGCATATGCACTTTATCATGGATTTTGACTGCCTGTATACATTCAAATATAGTCTATAAATAACATGCACGAAAATTTTTTTCTTGTACTCGGTCAGTAGGAAATTAAGCCTTCTTTTAACCTAACACGTAAGGGAACGGTCTCTTTCGGTTTAAAAAAGTTTCTAATTATGAGATTTTAATGACTTTGAGGTTTTCATTCATACAAGCGGTAAAGTTGGCCGGGTAAAATTGATCCAAGTGTGATCAAACCCACGGTGCAAGGCGTGGCATTTGTAGCTCAACTGATAGAACGTTGGATGCGTAACGGACTTCCCTTTTATGCGAGTTCAAATCCCCGCCAAATGCCGCAAACTTTTTTCACAATTGGGTCAACTAAAATAGAGCAACTTAAGTATTCTCTTCACATCAAAAACACATTCTAGAATTTTAGTTGTTGTTTCTTGAGATAGCGAACCCACTGTTTGTAAAGTTTTCCCTTAGCAAGGGAATTCGGACATGTTGGTTAGTGCTTACGGGACTTAGCCCTTAGCATCCTGATTTTGGTAAAGCAGTCCGGTCAGCATAGAAAGCAAAGTGGCATTCTGTCAGAAAATGTCACCTGTGTGTATAGGCTCAAACAAAAGGTCCTGCAACTAAACCTACCCTGCGCCTGTTTCCGTGGTGTAAGTTGCACAGGCAAACATCATGTCCTGCCATATCATGATGCCGAGACGGCTGGCGAGGTCATAGAAGTGGCGCGATTCATAACGGCCACCACCCCAAACCCGCAGCATATTTGTGCCGACTAGGGCTGCGGAACGGAGCACCTCCTCCATCGGACCCGTCTCCAG